GCAGGTCACCCTAAACCCTAAACCCTAAACCATGAACCCTGAACCCTAAACCCCAAACCCTAAACCCTATGGGCGATGAATTTGGTAGTTCTTCAGACTCCTGTTACCCGTCCCTGCCTTGCCCCTGCAGCCATTCGAGGGCCGCTTGAACTTCTTTCCGGCTGCCATCGTAGCCTTAGTTGCTGAGTTCAAAAGCCCCCCAAAAAAGTGTACACGTTCAGTACTGTAGATGATTACAATATCCAAAAAGTGAAAAATGTACTCATTCTGCTGACATCGTAACAGCCCGGTATGGTGTAATTCAAGACCTGAGCTCACGTGGGAGCGGTGGAAGCCATTCTTCGCACCAGCTTTCTCCACGCCACTTTTAGGGTTTAGGGTATTGTTTAGGGCGCAATGCAAGATATGCCCGCATGTTGGACAAACCAGGAGACCTTTGCAGACCTTGGCACCAGTCCGCATCACACTCCCTCACTGCGCTCTCCCAAGGGCCCCAAAAACCCGAAAATCAGCCGGGCAGCGCACGTTTAGGCTGCCAAACCCAGTCCACCAAATCAGTTTTGGGCACTGCGGATCGCAAGCCCTTCAACCTTTAGCTTAGACTTCCGAACCTTACTCCCCCCCCCCCCCCCCCCCCCCCCGAATGCCCTACATTTACTCAGGGCAGTTTGCGTACTTGCCTCAACTCTATCATGCCACGATTCTAAGATTTTAAGCAGCTGGATAACCAAACAGAACAACCCTCACGTACCCTTTTGCCGTCGTCCCACCCCATACATATCCTAAACCCTAATTTGCCCTAGGGCCCGCCCTGAACCCTAAACCCTGAAGCCCAAATCCTAAACCCCTAAAACCTTAAACCCTCAACCGCAAACGCCAAACCCTCAACCCCAAACCCTAAACCCTCAACCCTAAACCCCAAACCCTAAACCCTAAACCCTCAACCCTAAACCCCAAACCCTAAGTCCCAAACCCTAAGCCCTAAACCCCAAACCCTAAACCCCAAAACGCCCGAAAAAGCCGGAACCCTTCTCTGCCGTGTCGCGAGAATCGGCGGCCGCCTCTCTTCCAGGCGCGGCAGGAGCCGCGCAGCGAATGCCAGGGCCGATGGCTGGGCGGTTGAGGGAATCGGTTTAGGGTTTAGGGTTTGGTTTGGGGTTTGGGGTTTGGGGTTTGGGGTTTGGGGTTTGGGGTTTGGGGTTTGGGGTTTGGGGTTTGGGGTTTGGGGTTTGGGGTTTGGGGTTTGGGGTTTAGGGTGGGAGCTGAGACAGGACTGGTTGGTATACCTACATGTACGTACATACATGCATGCAAGCCTATGAGGATATGTACATAAACGGAAATATACATACAGGTATAAATACAAATATATATATATATATATATATACAGAAAACGTCATACTGCACACTTATTTTGTGTCAGCAAGTTCGTCCTGGGACGGTCAGAGGGCTTATGGGGAATACTTCGGTGTATAACAGATATAGACATACCATGAAACACAAAGAGGCCCTACGGGGTTTCTTGTTGTCGGGGCTTCCAAAATAGGATACACATGGAAGCCGCCTGGAAGCCTTAATCTAGGCTGCCCGGTAACCTAGGCCTAGGATTAAGCAGGGTGCCCTTCTTTGCTTAATGGGGTTTAGGGTTTAGGGTTTAGGGTTTAGGGTTAGTAACCTAGGCCTAGGATTCAGAAGGGTGCCCTTCTTTGCTTAAAAGGGGTTTGCAGGGGAACCGAAACCCCCCCCCCAAAAGAGAATAGGGGTACTAGTGGGCATCCGAAGCCTGAAACCCTAAACCCTAAACCCTAGACCCTAAACCCTAAGCCCTGCCCTAAGCCCTAAACCCTAAACCCGTGGAAGACGTTCAGCCGCTGCTCTCTGAAGCTTGAAGCACAGCGCTGAGGCCCCGACGGAACGCGTGATGAAAGCACCGCCCTGCAGAAAGAGAACCGCAGTCCTGGCATGATCAAGGTTTAGGGTTTAGGGTTTCGGGTTTACAAGGAGTCTCCCCTCTCCCCCGAGGTTATAGGTTGGAGTTATAAGGGCCCTAACTTGGGTTGTAAGAATCCTATCTTCGGTTCTTTGACGATAGTTAGCACAGCAAGGGGGCCCCTCCTTGTAGAGCATGTTTCACGGACACGCCTTTCCCAGTGTACTTTCAGCGAAATGCAGATCCAGTACCCGGTGCTCGGCAGACCCTGGTTTAGGGTTTAGGGTTTCGGGGGTAGTTTGGGTCTTCTGGTTTCGGACGACATTCAGCTGAAGCAAGCAATGGGGAAGGTTGAATAAGGTGGCACTGACAAAATCACCATCAGGCCACTGTTTAGTCCGACTCCAGAAACAGGTCTTCCTTCATAGGGTTGATTACGGGTCCTAACAGGGACTCCTAGGTGCAAGGTTCCGGTTTAGGGTTTAGGGTTTAGGGCTTAGGGCTTAGGGCTTTGGGCTTAGGGCTTAGGGCTTAGGGCTGAGGGTTTAGGGTTTAGGGTTTATAAGCTTAGGGTTTAGGGCGTAGGCTTTAGGATGGGAGGTCCTGGCGTCATGCTGCTTGCCCGGAAGTGTCAGCCACTCCGCATCCATATCCTGAACGGGCCGTCGCTCGATGATGCCGCTGAAATGCCATCCTGCTGAGTTCAGGGAAGTTCTGGGAGGGTTTACGATTTAGGGTTTAGGGTTTTAGGGTTTAGGGTTTAGGGGATTCCGAGGGCCCTGACAGCCATTCCCCTGCATGTCGGTTTTAGCAAGTCGGGACAACACCCGTCCTTCCAGGCGTCTGGCTATCGGCCATACGAGCTTGTTCCTTGGTTGGGGAGATTGTGTTCCAGAGCCAGAGTTCACACAATGTTGCCATTGAACTGCAATGGGCACAGGGCAACAAGGCATGCGGCGCAACTCATGTTGCGCGCGGATTGGGAATCCTGTGCATCTCGCTTCAGGGTGTGCACGAAGCCCCGTGACCTGCAACAACTACACTCCGAACACAGCCCTGCCAGATGGCGCGTTTAAAGCCTGAGCCGATCGTACGTGAGTTGATGCCAAGGTTCAGCAGCCATGTGAAGACTTCCTCGCCACAGCAATGCCGAGCGGCTTTGGCTTAAGCTCTTAGCAACAATTCCTGAACATCGGTCCGTACCTATACATCTAGGGCTAAACAATGCGCTTTAGTATGGGCATCCCGAGTTGTACTGGTACCCCATGGAAGCCTTTTATGGCTTGACAGATTGTCCCGAAAAAAGGTCGACTTTTTCGGCGCCCGTTTTTTGGGGTCAGACTACAAGGGGCACATGACCTGGCCAAAGCACGCATTCTTGGAGAAGCGCATGCTCGGATCCTTAACCCCCTAAGCAGTCTTTCGTCCAGAACGAGCCGAAGAATTGTGTGAATTGCCAGCGTGGCGCGGTCAAAGCCACCCAAGAGCCTTCAACATTACTTCAGACAGAACAGCAGAACCCCTCATGACTGTTTGACTTCCTCGTGATCCTAGAAGCCAGCCATGGACCAGGTACACAGATCTCTTCATTTTGACAAGTACTCTCTGAAATGTCGCTCTACTATTTGCTTGAGAACGCCCCAAAAAAAACACAACATATGCTACTCCATATAAGGGCAACGTAGGGAATTCTATTTTATACTTTTTGGGTTCTTAAGCAAACAGGGTCACGCTATGAATGCCAAAGGCACCGGCATCAACTGCTGCATCAACCGCGCGGCCGCCAGGGCCGGGGACACCAGAAAGGCAGGGGGGAAGCACCTCTCCGACGCTCTCCCAGCGCTAGCCATGGCGTTAGTTCTAGTAGTAGGGTTTAGGGTTTAGGGTTTAGGGTTTAGGGTTTCGACTCTCACACTCGCACACGGCCGGCAAGGCATCGGATGGTAGATTCAAGACTGCGGTGACACCATGGAGATCATGGGTTTAGGGTTTAGGGCCTTCTTTATTCTAAGGGCAATATAGGGATTACTTTTTTTCATTTTTTTTTGGGGGGGGCTCTAGAGTCAATAGTAGAGTTTCTGAAACGATCCCTAGGATGGCCCTAAAGCTTAAAGAAGCCCCTCTGAAACACATTCCTAAATATTTATCCTCTTAAGCCCAAATATTCCTAAATGTGATCCTCTTAAACCCAAATATTCCTAAATATGATCCTCTAACACCCGAATAAGGGAACAGAACACATGTGGCAAGGGCCGACCTAGTCTCCGGAAAGCCTTGGAAGGCTGAGGCTTGGTAGCTTATGAGGCGATGAGCCACGCAGAATCTGGATGGGTCCACTGTCCAATTTCTTTGCCCAGATGGCACAAAGATCGAAGTCTTGGCTCGGGAAAGCCTGTGATACCGGCTGCTCACTTATATAACCCTAAACCCTGGACCCTAAACCCTAAACCCTATATAAGTCTCATGCGAAGCATGATCTTGGCCTGAGCCATGCTTTGCAGCGTTCGAGCTGCTTGACAGAAAGGTGGGGTTACCTCCACCCCATCTGGCCCACTTCACAGAAGAGCTCCGCGGAACTATGAGCCCTCAACCGCAACATGCAAAAGTTGCTTTTCCTGCTTGCCCTGAATGAAGGGATACAAGCATGATACGAGTTCTGGAAAGCGAACCGCGGCGGGTTCGAGGCCCTGTGAACATGTCCACGGGCTTCATGGGAAAAATGGGGACTCGGCCCACAGAGCTTTTTCGCACTCAGAACAACACTGCCAACAAACCCTTTGAACAGACCGGATAAGCCCCAGACCCTAATACCATCTCTCTCTCTGTCTCTCTCACTCTCCTCTCGCTCTCTGTCTCTCTCCTCGCTCTCTCTCGCTCTCTCTCCCTCTCTATCTCTCGCTCTCTCTCCCTCTCTATCTCTCGCTCTCTCTCTCGCTCTCTCGCTTTCTCTCTCTCTCTCTATCTCTATCTCAAAGCCTAAAATCCCTGAAAGCCTTAAAGCCCTCCAAAAGCCTCCAAAAGCTTAAAGCCCTGCGGCACTGAACTCCTAAACCAGCTGGGCGCGGGGCCCGATGCCATAGGCGTTAAGAGCATCTGCAACAAGCTTCAGCCTCACTTAGACTTAGAGCGGCTTTCGAAACCCCTAAGGCTCCAAGGGCTCTTATTTTAAGATTTTTGGCCCCAGAGGCCCTATTGTAACAGGTTTTTGGGCTCATTTTGAGCCGAAGGGAACCATTCCTAACCCTGGGAAGGGGACCCCTTATATACCCGTTACATACCCTATACAACCCAATGGCCCAAAGGCCCAACCTTCCGAACCCTCTAAAAGACCTTTAGAAAAGAAGGCATTCTTAACCCCAAACCCTAAACCCTAAACCCTAAAGCCTAGAGGCCCTAAAGCCAAACACTAATCACTAAGGGTCCATGTACTTAAATAAGGAACACTTGGGCCTTAAGTACCTCTTGTGTAGGGACATTGGGGCCCAAGAAAGAATCATGAGGCACACGGACTCTTACCCCTAGCTATAAGTAGAGTTATAAGGGGACTTATCGTTAGTATAGTAAGGGGGCCCCTCCTTGTAGGGAAAGTCCCCTATGAGGGTTTCTGCTTCTCGGCGTGTCCGGTCGTGGCGTTCGAGCCATGACCCTTTTTGCAACAGGTCTCCTGAAACCCTAAACCCTAAACCCTAACCCCTAAACCCTAAACCCCAAAACCTACACCCTTTGAAACCTGCGGCCCGAGGCCCGACTTGGAGGTCCATGGGAAGTTGCAAGCAGGGCTAGATGTGCACCCAAAACAAGCCTCTAATGATTGTCATGACCACATGTACCCCAAAAAAGGATCTAATGACCTGTCATGACTACTTCTAACCCCGCTATAGGGTTACAGACACGCTTTAAACGCTGACCTTTGCCAGGTGCCCAAGCAGGGCGTGCTGAGCGAGAGCACCACCGCCCACTGAAGCACTGATCACCTTGGCTACCCATTGACCCCAGCTTCTTTCCTCAGGGATTTCCTGAAGCTTGTTACCCTACACCCTAAACATCTTAAAGGCTCTGAAGTATGGGCCCTTGGGTTTTCTAGGGTATAGGGTGGGTGTTACCCTGAACCCAAACTCCGAAGCTATGTGTTTTAGGAACTGAGTCAGGGCTCTGTTTGGGGCCCTGGCGGCCCTTTTATCTACAAAGCAAGGGCCCCTGTTCTATACTAACACCTACAACCCAATTTAGGGCTCTTATAGCTCTGCTCGTAACAGGGGGCCTAAACCCTGAACCCTAAACCCGAAATCCTAAACCCCAAGCCCTCCTTGCAGGACGCTCTGGGGCTCGTGCCTCTTCCCAGCACTTCACGACCTGCCTTGCATCGCTGGATGCTTCTCGGGCTTAGGCAGCAAAGGGGGGGGGGGGGGTGTGAAGGGTTTGAGCTTAGGTTTTAGGTGTTAGGGTTTGAGGATTCAGAAGCTTAGATTGCTTCGATGTTCGGGTAGGATGCCGATCTGTGGTTGTTGTCTGCAACTAAGGCATTGTATACGCCCCCTGTGTGCTGTAGAACCCACTTCACGCAGGTCTGCACAGCTGATGCGGACCCGCCCAATTTTAAGTAGAGTTACAAGCAAGGGCTTCATGGGTAAGAGTAACCCCTGCTCCGTATAAATACGGTAAGCATACCTACAACGCTTCCCTTCGTGTTTACGCGCATATTCACATGCATCCCAGCCCCATAGCCCTTGTCAATTCTTGTGCCTTTAACGCCCCAGAGTACCCAAACCCTCAACTCAACGCTGGCAATATGTCCCAGTCGTGGACTCTTGCAAGCCCGCCCCCCCAAGCCCCCCTCCCCTGCCCAGTTTCCCCCCAAGCCAATCTAAGTTCTATATATCTAGAAAAAACTATGTCTATCTATCTATGTATACAGGGGTACCATATACGTAAATATGTATGGGGTTTACCCAAAGGCTCCTATGTAGTACAGTAGCACCTTTTTGGGGTAGCATACTAGAATCCCCTATATCTAATTTCAAAAAGGAACTACATTGGAGCCTGTGGGTTCTTATGGACGTTCAATCTTTGGAGCTTGCATGCCGCAAGCCGCAAATGGCAGGGATTCTCACTGTGAAGCAGAATCGTCTGGCAACGGCATGTGATAGAAGCCCTCAACTGCGCATTCCTTTTACTCGCCTGGCTTGCTTGGGCAAGGTCTACCTTAAGAATCCAAAAGCCTTACTTGTAGTCAGCCTGTAGTAGGTTGCCTAAGCATCTTATCATGGGTTCGATCGTCAGAACCTGAAAACGGGGTAATATAGGGGTCGGAAGAATTTCCAATAGTATTCCCTTATGGCCCCTTTTATGGTTATACCACAACAACCCCCCAAATCCCTGTTCTAATTATTCAGGCCCCTAAATTAGGTAGGCCTTGGGTTCTAAAGGTACCAGGTCCTCATGCGGCTGGCCGCGGCGAAGGCTTTGCTTGGCAAAGCCCCCGTCTGGATTTTTCGACTGCGGTGAGGTTGTCGCACGTCCCGTGGTTTGGGCGTAATGTAGGGGCCTTAATAATTATGAAGAGGGTTTCGAGGGGCATTGTCGTATAATTAAATAGGAACCATGAGAAAATACGATTACCTTGTAAACTATTCCAACCCCTATACTATAGGGCTTGGGGCTTGCGGTTTGGGGTTAAGGGCCTACAGGGGGTTAGGGTTTGAGGGCTTAGGGGTTCAGCGTTCGGAGTCTCGTGCTTCGGGGCTGTTCGTAAAGGTTCAGACATTAGCTAGGGTTTAGGGTTTAGGGTTTAGGGTTTAGGGTTTAGGGTTTAGGGTTTAGGGTTTAGGGTTTAGGCTCTGAGCAGATTCCGAGCATTTGACCAGCTTTAGAAAGCCAAAGCGTCAGTTGTAGGTTGTTTCTAGGAATCGTACGAGCAGGGGTGCTAGAACAAGAAGCCACAAAAACAAGGTCAGGGTGTTCTAAACCCTAAACCCTAAACCCTACACCCTACACCCTAAACCCTAAACCCTAAACCCTAAACCCTGAACCCCACACCCTTTGAGAGGAAGTGGTCATCACGAGTTAACGCGACACTTACCGACGAAGTCCCTTCGTGGGACTTCTGACTTCTAAAGAGGCAGGGTTTAGGGTTTAGGGTTAAGGGTTTAAGGTTTAGGGTTTAGGGTTTACGGCAGTGAAACAAATAACACACGTCCTTGGCCAGTCTTGTTCGGCCAAGGGCCGAGTGCAGGAGGCTGGTGGAGCCCAAGTTCTGCGCGGTTTTAAAAACAAACCCTGGTTCCAGAACCTGCATCTTCCCCAAAGTGGCAACCCTAAACCCTAAACCCTAAACCCTAAACCCTAAACCCCTAAACCCTACATTCTACTCGGAAGCACCTACATCCCAAGCTTCAACCTGCGCTTGATGACCTGCGTCAGGTCGTGCGTCAGCTGGCTCCTGAGGATTTGTTGTTTGCTTGGGGTTAAGAAAAGTCGGGCAAGAACCCTAAACCCTAAACCCTAAACCCTAAACCCTAAACCCTCTCTTTCTTATATATATTTAAACCTTCGGCCGATTTCGGCCACGGCCGAAAAGCCACGAACACTGGTCCCCCCAGTGTTCGGCCGATTTCGGCCACGGCCGAAAAGCCACGAACACTGGTCCCCCCAGTGTTCGGCCGATTTCGGCCACGGCCGAAAAGCCACGAACACTGGTCCCCCCCCCTATCCTCACCCCGTCAGGGCCCAGCGTTTAGGGTTTCAAGGCCTCAAAGCCTGTGTTTAGGGTTTCAGGGCCTCAGGGCCTGTGTTTAGGGTTTCAGGGCCCAGCGTTTAGGGTTTCAAGGCCTCAAAGCCTGTGTTTAGGGTTTCAGGACCTCAGGGCCTGTGTTTAGGGTTTCAGGGCCCAGCGTTTAGGGTGTCAAGGCCTCAGGGCCTGTGTTTAGGGTTTCAGGGCCCAGCGTGTAGGGTTTCAAGGCCTCAAGGCCTGTGTTTAGGGGTTCAAGGCCTCAACGCCGTGTTTTTTCAAGTTTCAAGGTTTTTCAAGGTTTTTCAATGTTTTTTTAAGGTCCCCTCCCCCCCCTCTCTCCCCCCCTCTCACCCCCCTATCCTCACCCCGTCCCCTCCCCTAATCTGACCCTATTGTTCGTCGGTGGAAGGTTCAGTGGAAAACGTGTCCGAGTTGGGTAGGTACTCTGGGGAAGATGACAACCGTTTATTTTCTTAATGTTATGGGATTCTTTGGGCGGGTGGGTTTTTTTTCTGAGCCTGGAATGAATGCTAGAACAGTGACCCTCTAGACCCTAAACCCTAAACCCTAAACCCTAAACCCTAAACCCTAAACCCTAAACCCTAACAACAGCAAGCCTCAGCTGCATCCAAGGTACTTGAGCACCGTCAAGTCCTTGACGGTTGCCGCGTTGGAGCCCCGCAGGAGCAGAATCTCATCCAGGAAATCCTGTTCAACCGAACCCCTTGAAAGCCGAAACGGGTTTAGGGTTTAGGGTTTAGGGTTTAGGGTTTGGGGTTAAGGTTTTTTTTTTTTTTTCCCACCCGTTTCGCAAGCGTATACGGGGAAGAGGTCAGGCCTAGTTAAGGGTTTAGGGTTTAGGGTTGAGGGCTTCTACCTGTGATGGAGCGCTTATGCCGGGCGGCACAGGTGTTCTGGGCTTGGTTGACTAGAACAAACACGTCCCGATACGTGTCATGTTTGAAGGCTTAACTAGACCAAAAGAGTAACCTAGGAATAACAAGCGTGCCCTTTTTGGTTTAAAAGACTTTTATAGGAACTGAAACCCAAGAACATATGAAATAAGGGCCTGCTCTGGGGTCTTTTACTCAGCTCCGACTGAGTATCTGCGGCAATGCCGCCCCTCCTTTTCTGCAGATCTCTGATTTCCCCAAGCCCATTCTGGAGACTGGACGTGTGACGCCTGGCCGCGTTCATACCGATGCTGTGTTGCTGCATGCTGGCCTGGAAACCGATGATCGTCTCGCCATCAAAGATGATATTGGGATCCTCGCGAGGCTTCTGGGTGTCCGATTAGAATTCACGGATCATGATGCCATGCCTTCAACTTCGTACAGGAACATGAGAAGTTGCCCTTTCGTCGGGTCGACAGTACGATTGCGCTTACAAAGCGGGCCCTGAGCTAACCCGAAACCCGAACCCCAAAACCCCAAACCCACAAACCCTAAACCTAAACCCCACCTTCCCACTTGCATACTACTGAACCCTGAAGGTGCAACCTCGCAAAGAATGCACGTGGTCTGACCGGTGCTGTAGTGGAGTGGTGGAGTGAATCCCTATGAGGAACCCTTTGAGGTTTAGGTTTAAGGAGTCTAGGGTTTATCTACCCCGGCTTATACACCCTTCCCCTTTCTTTGGGTGTCTACCTTCCCTATTTTAGACCTCAACTCTAAAGCAAGGTACGAGTACCCAAAGAAAGGTGCTGGGTGTATGAGCCTGCAGGCAGCACCTACATTCACTCCCCACGCCCCTTAAGCAGCAGCAAGTGCTGGGGCCACAGCCTTGACCAGAGCGATGAGGTCTACTCCAACGTCCTCGAGAAACTGCAGTTGCTTCTTGGATGGAGGCTTGCGGGGTGGTCCTTTTCTCCAAACAATCTCCCCAAAAGGACTCGTCACACCCTGAACCCTGAACCCTGAACCCTAAACCCTAAACCCTAAACCCTAAAACCTAAACCCTAACCGTAAACCCCTGCGGCTTGCAGGCGCAGTAAGCCAGCTTCCACGCCCGGCTTGGAAGCTCAGAAACCAGGTTAATTACCATAAGTTTGTAGGCTTCAGGGTGCAGGTTTAGGGTTTAGGGTTTAGCGTTTAGGGTTTTAGGGTTTAGGGCTTAGGGTTCCCCTTTTCGGTGGTTGTACATTCTATTCTTCCCTATAAGGGCAATATAGGGATTATGCTTCTATATTTGTTGGGCGGGTTGTTCAGCAAAAAGTAGTCAACCCTAAACTTGGGATGTTCCCCCTTGTACTAGCAGTCCTGAATAGGGACTGTAGTACCCCCTATTATACTCCCTAATAAGGACTCTTAGTATAAGGGGGAGCATCCCAGCCCTAAACCCTAAACCCTAAACCCTAAACTCTAAACCCTAAAAACCCACGCCTGTAGCACTTCGATGGCTTGATCGGTTTGGAGGAGCATGAGGAACTCTTCCTGCGCGCCATCAAGCTTGCTGTCATGGGTTTAGGGTTTAGGGTTTGGAGTCTGTCTCCCCATCTATCCCCTCTCCCCCTCCTGCGTGTTGTCCCTCCCTCCATGCCTCCGTCCCTCCCCCTCTCACTCGCTCCTCTCTCTTCTTCTTCTTCCTCTTCTTCTTCTTCTTCGTCTTCTACCTATAACTCCCAATGA